CCCACCCTTCTCCAAGAGATCAAGCAAGCTGAGGCCGCCAGGAAGCCTGCCAGCTGGGGAGGGTGACTGAGTGCTTGAGCACAGCGGAATGGTTCAGAGTGAAGCAGCTGGGTGAGGCCCTGGGAGAATATCGCACCCTGGGCTTGAATTCATCCAAAGCAAGAAAAGAGAGAACACGATGTTTTATCCTTACAAGACCGAGGCGTGGATGAGTTGGCTGCCATTTTCTGTGTTGCTGTCAGCTGCAAGTTTGGCCCACAGATGTTTATTTTTGAGTTTGATGTGTTTGTTTTCTTCTTTGCCTGGGACAGGGTGTTAGGCTAGATGAAATGGAGTAAGGGGAAAAAAAGAGGGAAAAAAAATTCTCTTGGTTAGTAAGAGAGGAAGCCAGCAGGGGGAGAGCAGACTTCTCTTAAATGCTGAGAATGTTGAAATCATTTCTCAAAATTACCTCCAACTCCTAAATTCTGTTTGATGTCTCTTTTGTTGAGGGCTTTAGAATGGGTTTCAGCTGTAGAAAATCTGGTCATGACTGCAGGGGGTTAGAGGGGAGGTAGTTACAGAGACAACTACACATAGGCATTGAATTAGGCAGCACAAGAACAGAATGCTTTTGAATACCCAGAAGGGAGGGAAAGGGGTGTAGGCATGGCTAGGAAGACTGTAGAATTGCTGACCAGTGGATGCTATTCTAAAGATCAGTTCACTCCTTCCCAGATAGAAGGGAAAGCAAAGAAGTGTGGATTTTCTGTTTTGTTGGTGGTGCTGGGGATTCTAGGAGCCTCATATTTATATTAGGCAGATGTTTTGTTGCTTGAGCTACACCCCAGATCTTCATTTTTACGTTTGTTTTTCAAATAGGGCCTCAGAATATGATCTTCTTACCCCTTCCTTCCTGAGTGATTTACAGGTGTGCATCACAACACTTGCCTTGTTTTTGAGATAAGGTCTCACTAACATTGGCTGTAATCCAATCTCTAGTCCTCTCCCACCCCTAGTAACTGCGATGGTAGATAGTAGGTATTACTGACTCATTTGGTAGCCCTTCACATGCCAGTCATTTCAGCCCATCTTTGTGGGTTGTTTGGGATTCCTTTCCTCCTCACTGTCATTTTCCTCTTTTGAACCAGAAGGGCAGCAGCAGGAGACACACAGTCAATGCAGTAGGCTCTGTACTTAGTGTGGTATATATACTCTTGAGTATTTCCTCTCCTCTCCTCTCCTCTCCTCCCCTCCCCTTTTTGTGACTCCGTAAGTATATTTTGGTACATTTTAAACACCTTTATTGTGAAAGCATACAATTCAACGGCCTTTAGAATATTTACAGAGTTGTATAACCACAACCACAATCTAATTTTAGAAAAATTTTATCACCCCGGAAAGAAATTCTGTGCCCATTTATGGTTGCTCTCCAGCCCCACTGGCCTGCCTTTTGCCTCGGTGATAGATTTGTCTGCTGTGGCCATGTCATATAAATGGAACCATACAAAACGTGGTCCCTTTCACTTGGCATACTGTTCACAAAGCTCATCCTTGTACTTCATTGGGCTGAATAACTGACAGAACGCATGGTATTAGTCCATTCATGCAATCCCAATGGTATTTGGGTTATTGCTCCTTCATAAATGCAATGAGTAGTACTGTTAATGATTGGGTATCATTTTTTGTGGGCGTGTATGTTTTCATTTCTCTGGGGGTGAATCTCAAAGGGGAGTTACTGAGTTATGGGAACCCACTGCTTAACATTTCCAGGAATTACCAGATTGTTTCCAGTGGCATCTGAGCACTTTACCTTCCTACCTACCTACAGTGCTTGAGAGTCTCACTTCTTCACCTCTTCCTTGTTAGCAGCTGGCTGTTGTAGTGTAGTCAACCTATTTGGTATGAAGTGGTGATCACCTACCTTCTGATTTTCAGCTCCCTGATGACAAAATGATACTGAGTCTGTTGGCTATTCACCTCTTTCAGGAAATGCCAGTTTAGATATGTTGGCTATCCTTTAATTGCTTTGTTTTTGTTGTTGCTGTTTTTTGTGTTTCTGTTTGTCAGTCAAGGGGCTTGAACTCGGCCTGGGCGCTGTCCCTCAGCTCTTCAGCTGCTTATGTGGTGCTGAGGAATTGAACACAGGGCTTCATGCATGCAAGGCAAGCACTCTACCACTGAGCCATCTTCCCAGCCCCCCCTTTAATTGGTTTTTAAAGTTACATATGAGTTACAAAAGTTTCTTGTTTTTTTTTATTCCCTCTTTCATTGTTCTGTTTGTAATGTTAATGTAAGGAATTACACATTTAAGAAATTCTTGCCTCACCCAAAGTAATGAAGATTTTTATTCCTGTTTTCTTCTATGAGTTTTATACTTACTTTTAGTTCCTACAATTAGGTCTCTGAGCTAGTCGAATCAATTTTTTGTGTTGGATGTGAGGAAAGCACTAAATTTCTCTACTACTTCAGACACAAATCTGGTCCCAAACTTCATTCTTTTGTATGTTCCCACACCATTTGTTGAAGAGCTTATTCTTCCCAATCTAACTGCCCTTAAGCATGTGAGTTTATTTATATCTTGACAGTTCTGTTCCACTGATCTTCTGTGTACCATCTGTCTGTATGCATGGTATGTATTTTGATAGCACTGAGGTTTGAAATCAGGGACTTGAGCTTGCTAGGCTGGCATCGTACCCCCAAACCCTGCCTCCAGCCCTAATATTTTTTTCTGGTTATTATTGTTGTCATCTTGTTGTTGTTGTGCTGGTCCTGAGCACTGCCCCTGAGCTTTTTTGCCTAAGTCTAGTGTTCTCCCTCTTGAGTGAGCCACTTTTGGCTTTTTAGTGTTTTGTTGGAGAGAAGACTCTCACAGACTTTCTTGCCTGGGCTGGCTTGGTCCTCAGATCCTAGCTTCCTGAGTAGTGAGGATTATAGACGTGAGCCACTAGCACATTGCTGTTTATTTTTGAGATAGTGGCTTTTTCTCAGCAGCGTGACCTTGAACCATATTCTTTCCAGTCTCCACTTCTGGTAGTCAGATTACAGGTAGGAGCTACCTTGCTGTCCTCCATTTTTTTTTCAAATAAGGCTCCTCAAATGGTTGTCCACCTAGCTGGACAGAAGGCTAAGATAGAAAGAATCAAGGTTCCAGGCCAGCCCAAGCAACAAAGGTTCTTGAGACACCCTCCCAGAAAAAAATGCTGGGTGTGATGGCGCCCAACTGTCAGCCTTGCTATAGCATGAAATGTTAATAGGCCAGCCATGATGAGAGAGAGAGAGAGAGAGATAACTGAAGGCATAGTTCAGGTGTTAGAACACCTTTGTAGCAAGGGTGAGGCTGTGAGTTCAAATCCCAATATTGTTACAAAGACTAAAATGTCTTTTTTTTTTTTTTTGTCAGTCGTGGGTCTTGAACTCTGGGCCTGGGCTCTGTCCCTCAGCTCTTCAACTCATGGCCAGCACTCTACCACTTGAGCCACAGCATCACTTCCAGCTTTTTCTGCTTATGTGGTGCTGAGGAATCGAACCCAGGGTCTCATGCATGCAAGGCAAGCACTGTACCACGGAGCCACCTTCCCTGCCCCTAAAATGTCTTTTAAATGATGGATTCCATGTACAGTTAGGTTGACAGCGAGGTGGCTGCAGTAGAGAGTTTGGCTAGTTTGCTTGGGAGGTGGCATAACGTGAGGTCTCTGTATACTCTGTTGTGGACGCACAGATTGTCACTGCTCACTAAGTCAGTGTTTGCTGAACGTACCTGGTAAGAATTGTAATAGAGGGCTGGGGAGGGGACATGTTTGCATGCGCTCCTTTGCATGGCTACTGTGTTCCTGCTGGTTGCAAATTGATTGTCAGCACCTTCAGGAACCCGTGTTAATGAATTCTCCAGGTGAGTCTTGGAGTCAGACTGACGAGGGCAGTGCTTAGTTTGCAGGGGCAGCCCATTAGAAGCGGTATACCTACACTGCAGTCTATCCTAATGTCTTTAGGGTTGCTGCCATCCTTCAGTGTTAAGGCAGGATTATACAAAACCCTGCCATGACCGCTTTGCGCCCTTCCCTGACATTTTATTTACTATTGGTCCTTCCAAATCTGCATGATTACTGTTAACCCCCTGCTTCTTCCCCTTGTCACTATATTTCATTTTCTTAGATCCTTTCAAGAATATTGAACTTTGCCATTTCATCTACACCATTAGATTAAAATCTTCAAGCTAAGGATTTTCAGTTGGCTGCAGCAACCCCAGCACCCACATTGATAATGCCTGTACCAAGTGAGCATCTGTCCAGTAGCATTTGTTGAGGAATGAATTTGTTTTAGCCTCAGAGATAATCACCCTGCCTATTTGATTACCCTGTTCTTTCTACTCTATTCCTTTTCTAGGGTATGAGCTTGCTCTACAGGCACTTGCCTCCTGCTCTTTTACACTGATTATTTTGAGTTAGGATCTCACTTACCTGGCTCTACCCCTGGTTTTCAATCTGCTTATCTACCTGAGCTGGCCTGGAGTGGTGATCCTTTTAGCTGGGATGACAGATATATGCCACTGTGCCTGGCTATTTCTTGGTTTGGTAGGTCGGGGAGTGTGTGTGCCCAACCTGGCCTCAAACTGTAGCCTTCCTGATCTCAGCATCCTAAATGGCTAGGATTATAAGCCTGAACCACCAGTATCTGACTTTTTTTTTTTAGCTTCATGGTGTTTGTGAATCATGAAGAATAAATTGCGCACAGGCCATTCCGAATTATCGCTGTATTTAACAGCTGTGTGGGACTAAATATGTCATGTGCTAAACTCTAACCTGTCATTAATTTAAACGTATCTTGCTGCATTGTGTTCTCTTTGAAAACCAGCAGGCTGAACATGAGCCATTAGTAAATCGGTTCTGATTAGAAGTTATTCATTTTCATCTTTGTTAAGTCTTGGAATGGCAAAGCTTGGATTCTAAAGTTGGAGGAGGAAGGAGAATTTTCCTTTACAAATGACTCCTTTAACATTTTTTTGTTGTTTTCATTTGTAGGATAGAGTTTTTGCGGCACTTGAAGAGCTTTTTCCAGATTATGTTTAAAATTGAAACCAAACCCTGTGGTGAAGAACTCAAGGGTGGGGACAAAGTGTTGATGACCTGTGTTGGCATTGGCTTCTCGAACCTTAGCAAGACTCTCAAGTGACACCTTCACAGGAGAAGGCTGACAGACAAAGCAGAAGCTGCCAAGGACACCAAAGGGACCACATCCATACCACTCAACCCAGGACAGGAGAGCCACTTATATTACGACTTTCTTGAGTTTCTACTGAAAATGTCAGCACGCAAATACAAATCAAGAACACCTTATTTTCCAGCTGTTTCTCTGGTGCTGTTAATATTCTTCAGAGACTCAATCAACCAGAGTTCCCTGGCCAGCCTGGGGGAAGGCTCACTGGGACAGTGTTTCTGTGTTTCCTCTAGCTCACATCCATCTCTGGCCTTCTGTCCTGTGGCTCTCACGCATGCATGGGCAGCCTGGTACAGCTCTTTCTGCAAGGACTTACAACTTTTTGACCAAAGTTTTCCGTCGTAAGGACCAATGCCACGGTATATGGAAGTTTCATATGCATCAGGCAGTGCTATGCAAATATCGGAAATTTCCATACTGGACTTTTTTTTTTTTCTTTGGACTCATGAATGGGTTGTTTATCAAGGACATGTGATTCATTGTAAGTGGCTGGGCTGGAGAAGACAGTTAGGGATGTGTCTAGGTATTTTCTGTATCACAGGTGTGCCATAGATTTTCTTATTATGTTCTTGTAATAGCCCCATCATGCAAATTCTTATTACCACAAAAAAAATTGAAAAAAGGGTATTTTTGTTCTTTGGATATTTATAATGGAAAAATATTAGATCTCATCATTTAAAAGTCTAAGTGGATGACAGACTTGTTTAAGATGGCTCATGACTTATTTTGAATATGGTTCTGAGATAGGGCTTGGAGCCTGGCAAGAATGCGTGTAGGGAGTCCTCAGGACCAAGGACTGATTTGCCTCTGCCATCTAATATTCTATATTTAGTTTGTGCTGGGTTATAGTTGGCAGAGGGAAAAGTCTAATGTTATCCTGCACTGGGGGTGGTCTTTGTCTTTTTTGTTTTGTTTTGTTTTTTGTCAGTGAAAAGAGCTGGAGGAAAGGGTATGTTCTCTGGGATGTGGGAGTGTAGGAGGAAGCAGAGTTAGAAGGCCAGGCCATTCTGAATTCAGGTACTCTGTGGAGAGCTTCCCATATTGTTTGTTCTTTTGATTCATAACAAATGATCACAGACTTAGCAGCTTAATAACAATGCCTGCTTAGCCTTTCACAGTCCTGGAGGTTAGACGTGAGGTGAGTGAGATTGGATTCTCTGTGGTCTCTCACAAGGCTGGTGTCATTATGTCAGCAAGGAAGGGCTCTCACTTGAAGGCTTTGGGAAGGTATATGCTTTCCAGGGCATTCAGGTTGAAATTCAGGATTTGGAGTTGCAGTTCCCATTTCTTGGCTGTCTGTCAGTTGTAGACAATCCTCTGCTTATATAAAGGCGCTGTACTCCATATTTCCACTTACCTCTAACTATATAGCCGACAATAGAACACTGAATACAGATTCATGCTGCTAATCTACTACCTTTTCTGTGATGTTGGCTAGAGGAAGCATGACTTCTAAATGGCTCAGGTATAGTCTGGGTGAGACTACTTTTCCTATCGTAAGGCCAGCTGATCACAGAGAATCTGCATCAGTGTTGGAACAGCCAGGGTTGTAAGTAAGTGGATCGTCATCTTAAGAGTTCTGCCTAGGATTTCCCTAAGCCTCTTTGTGCTTAAGGCTAGCGCTTTACCATTTGAGCTACAGCACCACTTCTGGACTTTTCTGAGTAATTTATTGGAGTTAAGAGTCTTGTGTACTTTCCTACCATGGCTGGCCTTGAACCGTGATCCTCACATCTCAATCTCCTGAGTAGGTAGGATTACAGGCGTGAGCTACCAGTGCCCTGCTATTGCAATTGTTTTAATACCACTACTGGGTTAGCTTAGCTCTGCCCACATGGAACTCAGATGGAGAGCTAAGCATCATGCTGCTTTGGACTGTTACATGCCATCCAACAATAGGGGCCTCCTATTGTTCAAACATGCCATCCCCAAATAGGGGCCTCCTGTGCTTTGATATGAGCTGTGGAAATGGTCGGTTGAGTGGTAGGTATAAGCAGCAGTAGAGAAGGTATGTGCTCCTGGTTTAAAACCCAGTAGTGTCTGGGGTGGGTCCCAGCCCTCTGTCTGGCAGAGCTGCTTCTGGAGTAGTGCCCATATTACTGCTATTAAAAAAAAGGGCAAATACAACTTTTTTTTTTTCTTTTGGGACAGGATCCATCTTTCTGTGTAGTTCAGCATGGCCTTGAATTTGTAACCTCCTGCTTCTGTCTCCTGAGTATTACTACTATACCTGGCTCACAAATGTAACATTTATTTAAATAGCTTGCTTGTCACCCTTCTCAGATTATCAGGAGAATACCATTCCTTGAATAGAACTCATCCTTTGCTGGTTGCTGGTGTGTCCTGGAGATACTTCAGCTCCTGCAATCCCAATTTCTCCCTCCCCACCCCCATCTGTCTTTCTGTCTGTCTGTCTGTCTGTCTGTCTTTCTCTCTCCCTCTCTCTCTTGTACCCAGCTTTGTTTCCTCTTCATCCAACTGCTTGCTAAGGGTAGAGAGATTTCAGCATTTGAGGTGTGTGTGTGTGTGTGTGTGTGTGTATGCTTGTCTGTTCGTTCCCCTCTGTTGACAGATACCCTTGAATCACAGCAACAGTTACTCAATGGTAAGGTTTCACCTCTTTAAAAAGAAACTTTGGGGGCTGGGAATGTGTCTTAGTGGTAGAATGCTTGCCTAGCATGCATGAAACCCTGGGTTTGATACCTCAGGACCACATAAACAGAAAAAGCCAGAAGTGGTGCTGTGGCTCAAATGGTAGAGTGCTAGCCTTGAGCAAAAAGAAGCTTAGGGACAGTGCCCAGGCCTTAGTTCTAACCCCAAGACTAGCAAAAAAAAAAAAAAAAAGTGTGAGGGTGCAAGTACACGTGTTGTGTGTCATGGCAGAATCGCTGTGTTCACCTGTCTATGGAGTGCATGTTCTGCTTCTGTTCTTCAATAGAGGGGGCCAGTCTCTGTCACCATTATTCTACAATGTTTCTCAGAACCCCTGGCCAGGATGGGAGGAAGCTAGAACATTGGGGCATGGCTGGGAAAGAACCCCAGGAAGACCTGCTGAAGCCCAACTAACTTGTCAAGGCGAGCAGCTGAGCGTCGTGGGTTGTGTAAATAAATTGTATTGGGTTATTATTACAGTATTGTTAAGGGGTTACCATTTCATAAGTCAGGTCAATGAATACATTTCTTCTTTTTTTTTTTGGACCATGTCACACCCCTCTCTTTACTTTCCCTTAGCTTCCCCTGTGTTATATTTTTAAAAAGCATTTTTTTTGTAGAAAAAATAAGTAAAGGATGACTTATAAAGGCTAAATGCAACGTGACACTTGTCTTTTCTGTAACATAAATTGGCCAGTCCCCTTTCCATCTTTATGGTGGGAGGCCCCTCCGTGAGGCCAGGGCTACCGCTAAGTCCCAGGGTCACCAAGCAGAATTGTTGAGTGTCCTAAAGACAAGCAAAGGAAGTAGGTAGGATGGGGTCCAGGAGGCTAGAAGAACTTGGTGTAATCATAGGGAGAAGCCATGTGCTGGTGGCTCAAACCTGTATCAGGTTTGAAGCCAGCCAAGTCAGACATACCCAAGAGACCTTTAACTTGCAATTAGCCAGCAAAATGCTGGAAGCGGTAGAGCACCAGCCTCGAGCCACAGTTGAAACCCTCAGTACCAGTGTGTGCGCACACAAAATCATAGGGAGATAGAGAAACGGAAGCACCAACGTTTTGGCAGCACCTTCAGGTGATGGGTGGTAAGATTCACCTGGGTGAGGGAAACTGGGTAGGCTGCAGTACAGGCTTGGTTAGGGCTTTGGTCACAGGTGTGAGAAGAACGGGGTTACATAGTTTTCTGTTGCACACGGGGGGAAGCTGACCTTCCCCATCCAGAAGACTCCGGCCTGATTTTTAGAAGTGACTAATAGTTCGTGGGAATGTGAGGATGCAGGCCAGGCCTTTTTGTACGCTCCTTGGCCACATCCATGAAGCCATTTGTGGACCAATTTATCCATGTTAAGGATCACTCGCTCAAATGAGTAGCAGCTTCATTTTGTCGAGCATAGCGCCACTCCAGTTCTTAGTCATAGCTGGTTCATACCTCTCAGATTTCTGACTCCAATCTCGCGCATAGGCCTTGAGTCAGTACCTGATTCAAAGCAATGTAGGGGTTTCTGATAGTTGTGATTCTCTGAAAAGGGAAGGCATACTATTCTTCTCTTATTTTCCCCATTCCCAAACCCTTTAAAGAAGTTTGCACTCACAACTATTTTGGCTGAATTGTTAATAATTTCTCCAAATGATATGTGCAAACTGATGAAGATGGATTATTTTATAGCAGTGCTACATGGTGATTTCACATGTCTTTATTCATGGTCCCTATTGTGGAGGGAAAACATGAGAGGAGGCCATTTTTTTTTCCCCCAGTCCTGGGGCTTGAACTCAGGGCCTGGGCACTGTCCTTGAGCTGCTTTTGCTGAAGACTTCACACTCTACCACTTGAGCCACAGTGCCACTTCCAGCCTTCCTGTTTGAACCCAGGGCTTCATGCATGATATGCAAGCACTCTGCCACTACGCCACATTCCCAGCCAAGGCCATATATTTTGTAATGGTGCCTGGCTTACTATGTGAATGGATCTCACTTGAATTTTGTCAACTTGCTTCAGGCTGGATATTTTAAGAGTTGAATGTACTTGGCGCCTGGATACTCCCACGTTCTCTCTCTGCTCTCTGTTTTAGCCTTTGTTGACTACTTCGTGATTTTACCTACTGGGCAATTGAAAGCCTTGTACCTAAAAATCTGCAAGCTTTGAAAGACTTGTGAGAGTATTTTCAGGGAGACAAGGTTTTTTTCTTTTTCTTTAAAGAACAAGCGTAATTAAATATAAAGTAAAATAAAATGCTTTCTAGCTTAATAGTTAAAACGCTGGAAACCACATGGGTGAGTGTGTTTACAAAGACTTCAAAGGTACAGCCAGTGATGGACAGGGAATCATAACTAATCATCTCTTAAATGAGTTTATTGACCATTGTCAAGCAAGTTTGAAAGGTAGGACTAAAAAGTTTTCGGTGACTTTGACTATGACTCCATATTAGTATCTATGGTGTGATAAGATTATTGTTAAAAGCCAAGAATGTTGATCTAAGGCTTTCCCTTCTCATTGAGTCACCTTCTCTATAAACACCTCCACAATCTTGGATGGTACCCTTTGATCACTCTCCAAATACTCCCCCCCTCCCCTGTTCAACACTTACTAAGCTCTTTTGTTTGTTTTGGGGTTTTTGTTTTTTGTTTTGTTTTGATTTTTTGGTCAGTTGTTTGGCTTGAACTCAGGGCCTGGGCACTGTCCCTAAACTCTCACTCCAGGCTAGTGCTCTACCACATTGAGCCACAGTTCCCCTTCCTGTTTTCTTGTGGTTAATTGGAAGTAAGTCTTACAGGGACTTTCTGGACTGCTTTGGCTGGCTTTGAACTATGATCCTCAGATCTCAGGCTCCTGAATGGCTAGGATTATATTTTTTTTTTGTTGTTTTTAAGGCTTATTATCAACAAATGAGTCATTATCAAGGAAAGCTTTTGTTTTATGAACATACACAGAATGTTGTGAAAATAACAGGCTTGGGGAGTAGTAGACCTATGGTGGAATCTAAATAGTCCATGGTCCTTTATCTTTCTGATGCTTGGTTACTTCATTCTTCATTTGAAAATGAGAAT